GCTTATCAGAAAGGGCCAGAGCCTTCACTATAGCTCTATATTCAGAAGAAGTTCCTCATACTATAGAGCTTGCCTTAAAATCAAAAAATTGAAATCAGGCAATGAAGACGGAGATGGATGCTCTAATTAAAAATGACACATGGGAAAAATGTCAATTACCAGATGGAAAGAAATCAGTGGGTTGTCGTTGGGTCTTCACGATCAAACACAAACTGGATGGGACTGTTGAAAGGTATAAAGCTCGGTTAGTAGCAAAAGGATATACACAGACATATGGTATAGACTATTCAGAAACCTTCTCTCCAGTAGCTAAAATTGATACGATCAGAGTATTATTCTCGATAGCAGCTAATAAAGGATGGCCACTCCATCAATTCGATGTAAAAAATGCCTTTTTGCACGGAGATCTAAGAGAAGAAGTTTATATGGAAAGAAGAAGTTTATATGGAAGCACCACCAGGGTTCACAAATGGATTTAAAACTGGAGAAGTCTGTCGTTTGAAGAAGTCACTTTATGGTCTTAAACAGTCTCCAAGAGCTTGGTTTGGACGATTTACAATTGTAATGAAGAAATATGATTTTAAACAAAGTAATTCAGATCATACATTATTCCTTAAGCAAAGGGGTAATCTTATTACTTGTTTAATTATCTACGTTGATGATATGATTATTACAGGAAATGATGATGAAGAAATGTCAAAGCTGAGAAGGAACTTATTCACTGAATTCGAAATGAAAGACTTAGGAGCACTGAAGTACTTCCTTGGAATTGAAGTATTGAGATCAACAAGTGGAATTTTTATATGTAATATGTCCAAAAGAAAGTATACTCGGATTTATTGGCAGAAATAGGAAATGGTTGACTTGCAAGCCAGCTGACACGCCTATTTGCAACAAATCATGGACTTCAGATAGTAGAAGGAGTCAGAATCGGTTGATAAAGAAAAAAGTATCAAACGACTAGTTGGAAATTAATTTAATCTTTCACACACTCGACAAGACATAGCATATGCAGTTGGAGGTAGTAAGTCAGTTCATGCACAGGACCTCAAACTGATCATATGAAATGCAGTGTTAAGAATCATAAGTTACTTAAGGGCACGCCTAGTCAAGGAATTCCTGTTTAAACGGAATGGGCACTTGGATATACAAAGGTTATACTGATGCAGACTGGGCAGGTAAGTCGATGTTGATTCGCAGATCTACTTTCAGGCTACTTCACGTTTGTTGGCGGAAACTTAGTCAGATGGAGAAGTTATAGAAACAGAAAAGTTGTAGCATTGTCTAAGTCAGAGGCAAGAGTTTCGAGGAATTAAGCCTCGTGGTCTAAGCCTGAAATTCTTTGGCCTAAGGAAATTGTTAAGTGAAAGATTGTGTTTTCCTTCCAATCTGGAAGCAAGTAAATTAAAGTAAAATTATGTGTGATAATAGAGCTGCAATCAGCATTTCAGAAAATCCTGTTCAACATGATAGGACCAAGCATGTTGAAATTGATAGACACTTCATCAAAGAAAAACTAGAAGCAGGAATTGTGGAATTGCCGTTTGTTCGATCTGAAGATCAGTTGGCAGATATTTTGACAAAAGCAGTTAATGGAAATTCCTTTCATAACGTATTAAACAAGTTAAGTATTGGAGATCCCACTACTCAACTTGAGGGGGAGTGTCGGATGAAGAGAAAAAGTAGGGATCAGAATCATAGTTCATCATTTCTCTGTCCACTAACCTGTACACACAGTAAAAGTATCACACAGTAAAAAGTAAAAATCATGTATAAGGTGGAACTTTAGGAGTAATTAAAGAGCCAGTAATTAGTGGATAGTTAGAACAGCAGTTTGTATATTAAAACAATGTAATCTTTACAGAAAATAATAACAATTTTTTCCCCTCTGTGGAAACACAATGCCCATGCCATTAACAATTAGAGCCGTAATTAGTGGATAGTTAGAAGCAGTTTGTATATTAAAACAATGTAATCTTTACAGAAAATAATAACAATTTTTTCCCTCTGTGAAACACAATGCCCATGCCATTAACTTCAACCTTAGAATTTTTTTTTTTTTATTTTTTATTTTTTATTTTTTTTATATTCTGCAAATCCGCTCCTTTCGCTATATGCGAGAGCAAAAAAAATTGTCTCTATCAAGTGGGTTTTTGATGAAATTGAAGACCCAAATGTATATTTGTGAGATGATTCATGCTGAGTTTTTGAATTCCGCTGAGTTTGTAATTTGAAAATTTTGGATGAATCTCGAATCTGTTGAGTTTTTAAAAATTCTTTTGAAATTAATGTTGAGTTTTTAGTTTTGTGATGTGGGGTTATAAATTTCCTATTTACTTTTTCTGGGTATTAGAGAATTCTCTTTGAATTTCAAAACCAGATTTATAATTTGGGGATTTTAGGATTAGGGAATAAACCCCGTAAGAAAGGGAGTGTGAAGGTGAACAGTAATTTATTCTCTCTATTATTAGGATGAACAAAGCTAAATCGTTGCTCTGTTTCTTTTTATATAAATGTTGATTTGTTCTTAGTAAGATAAAGTTTAGCAATTTCTACATTTTCAGGAAATGCCTGGATAGTGATGAGTGAAGCATTTGCAACAGCGTCTTCCTTGACTTCATATTTAATGATGAATCTGATGATCCAATAATCTTTATTTTTCTTTATTATTTCAAACAGAATTCTATATAGAGTAAATCCATGTGGTTAAGGGTAAATTTTGGTATAAAAATTTTATCTTTTACTTTTGACTTTCATTTTGATGGTTAACAAATGGCAAACCTTGAAAAATGAACGGAAGGGTATAGCAATTTAATGGAGGGAATATATAGGAAAAAGATAGTGTATTTCTAAAAAAATGAGAGTAAGGTAATTAGTTTTGACAAAACATAGAGATAAAATTTTAATTTTTTCAATTAATAATTTAAAGACACAATCTTTCACAAAGTTAAGTGTGCAATAAATAGGGATAGAAACAAGGTAATTGTATTCGTTTAAAATTTTACTATTCTTGTTAATTTCAAACCATTTAAATATTTATTTAAGTATTTGTATTCAAATCCGTTTAAAATTTTATTATCCGTATCTGTCTCAAACCCATTTAAAATACCCTTTAAACAGATAGGATATCCACACATTTTAAACTATCTAAATCCTAATTTATTTAAAATGTATTTCTTATTATAAATGGCAGAGTATTCGTGAGTACTCATGGGTAAAATTATTTATTGTTGTGGGTACTCAGACTCTAATACCCGTACCTTACCTGTATCTATTGCTAATAGTAATTTCACTATCCGTATCCATTTAAAATCTCATTTATAACTATTCATACCCTCATTAAATGGATCAGAGCAGTATCCTAAAATACCCGTCTCACTTCCATCCCTAGTCATATATATCAACAAATTACTCGTTAAATCAACGAGTTAACCAATTCTTTGGTTAATGAAATTCTTGAAAGCACCTAATGAAGTTAATGGAAATCTATCTTGAAATTTGGTAGAAATAATAGCAGCTCTTTCTTTCATTTCTTCATCTCCCATTAGCCTTTCAATCCCCTTTGTAAGATTGTCCTTTGTAACCATTTTTGACATATCATCACTAACAATATAACCTGCCTTGAGATGACTCCACTAGTTTTGCAATATGAAAATGGTCATCTAGAATAGGCCAAGCCAGAAAAGGAACACCTCTCACAATTGCTTCCGTTGTAGAATTCCATCCACAGTGTGACAAAAATCCACCCGTTGATGGGTGACTCAATATCAACAACTGTGGTGCCCAACCACTTATTATCAAACCTCTTTCCCTAACCTTTTCTTGCAAACCGGAAGGAAAGTAACCTTCCTTACCTGAATCGGTTTGGATCGCCCAAATGGTTTGGTCCATTCTTCTAATGCATTAGCTAAATGGTGATACTCCTCCATTGTTGGACTTATTGAACTACCAAATGCTACATATAACACTAATTTTATGGCTTTGATTCTAACAGATTTAGCCGTTAACAGGTTCCATACTCATAATTCAATCCAACGGATTGTCATTAAAAGATTAACATCTAACAGTAGTAAATAATTTCTGTATTAATATATAAAATTATCATTCTTTACTGTAGTTTTATCCAAGTCTTAAATTAAAAATTAAAACTCGCAATAAGAATCAAAATTTTCATAGATTTTACATTAAAATGTATACGAAAATAAATTATAGACAAATTAATCAAATCAACCCATAGATTTAATTAATTCAAGCACAAGCTTTCCCTCTTGTTCTTGGTGCAATGACGAAGAGAGATTTGAGATCAAGTGACTGAAAATACACGTCCTTTAGCTTTGTCGTTTCCTTGAAGCAAACTAATTTCTTCTTCAGCAGCGGTGGACAGGCCAAGTGTTTCGATATCCAAGACCCATTGTGTCTAAAAGTCATGCAAACTTCATGATCCACCTATGCTCCTGCAAGACAAGATCTTTTTTTTTATTATTGAGAAAAAATATTTTAATAATATACTAGAAAGGAGCATTTTGTTAATTTTGAGTTTGCAAGTTCCTCTCTCCTCCGATTGCTTTTCCAGCCTCCGGCCAGTGGATATGGCTAGCATTAAATCACTTTTCCCTCATTGTTGATTCATAATCTAGCCTTCCTTTGGTTGATCAGTGCACCATGAGAAAATAATGAAGCCTTTAAAAATTTTGCATTTTTCCTCTTAACTTTCTCCAACTAGGATTACCTTTTTTCAATTAAATCAAAGCGCGATATGAGTATGTTGGACTCATCTTCACTTAATTTATGATTGAGGTGTATCAATTTCTCATTTCACAGATGGAATAATACATACCCAAAATGGGTAAATGACCAAATATTGTTTAGCCAATTTCAGCGAAATGGTTCAATATACGAGGAAATTAATATTATATTCATTTTAATAGTTATCATTATTGATACATACACATATCAATTTGTGTATTCACGCATTTATAATTGTCTGATAATCACTTTAAAGGTGTCAAATATTAATAAAATTAATAAATTAAAGACATAATAAATCTTTTAGAAAGTTCAGTGTACCATATAAATTAACAAACTACTCGTTAAATTAACAAGTTAACCAATTCTTTTGGTGAATGAAATTCTTGAAAGCGTCCAAAGAACCTAAAGAAGTTGATGGAAATCCATCTTCAAATTTAGTGGACATGATAGAAGCTCTTCTTTTCATTTCTTCATCTCCCATTAGCCTTTCTATCCCCTTTGTAAGATTGTCCTTTGTAACCATTTTTGACATATCATCACTAACAATATAACCTATCTTCAGATGACTCACCACTAGTTTTCATCTCCCATTAGCCTTTCTATCCCCTTTGTAAGATTGTCCTTTGTAACCATTTTTGACATATCATCACTAACAATATAACCTATCTTCAGATGACTCACCACTAGTTTTGCATTATAATATTGGTCACCTCTAATAGGCCAAGCCAGAAATGGAACACCTCGCCCAATTGCTTCTGCTGTAGAATTCCATCCACAGTGTGACAAAAATCCACCCGTTGATGGGTGACTCAGTATCAACAACTGTGGTGCCCAACCACTTATAATCAATCCTCTTTCCCCAACTTTTTCTTGCAAACCCGAAGGAAAGTAACCGTCTTTACCTGAACTTGTTTGGACTGCCCAAATGAATGGTCCGGTCCATTCTTCTAATGCATTAGCTAAATGAGGATACTCCTCCATTGTTGGACTTGTTGAACTACCAAATGCTACATATAAAACTGATTTTTGTGGTTTTGAGTCTAACCAATATATTACTTCATCTTCAGTGACATTAGATTGTCGGTTCGACCTACTCTCACCATCGCGAACAAGAGAACCAGCCGATTTCCAATACGATTCGGGCAAAAGCGGACCGATTCCCCAAACTGGTTTTCCCATTTCATTTGCAAGGTAATCAATAAAAGGACGTTCAAGTTCATCACAAGTATTTATCACCAACGCTATCGAGTCCTCCGCGGAATCTATCCACTGTGGTCTGTCTCCAGGATTTGGTGGGCCCATTTTTCTCGGCCCACTTGGGCTTGATGAACTACTTCCGACGCCGCCGCCGCCGCCACCGTGAGGTCCACCAGGCCGTCGTTTAAGATCTGACTCTGTAAGAGCCATTTCCTCCGGTAGTCCTTGTAGTAAAAACAGATCGCCAGGTTTGATAGTGTTCGGATTGGATTTCCAGATTGCGTGCTCCATGGCAGCAGAGCATGCTCCAGAAGTGAAAAATCCAACAGTAGGCACTTTGAATTTTCTGAAAATGTCGACAGTCCAATTCAAAATTACAAGGACATCAACTATTGCACAAACTGGTAGATTTGTTTGGGTTCGGGTTGAAAGGAGAGTTTCAAGTCCTAAAGCCAGTTGGTTTTGGTCGTCTTTCATTCGAAGATGGAATTGGGATTGTGAGGGAGGTGCAGATTGGATTTGTACAACTTCAAAGAGAGGGTTTTGGATAAAAGAGACGGGAACGAAGGAGTAGAGATTGGAGAAAATAACAAGGTGGGGTTTGAAATTAAGAGATGCTAAGTGCTTACATAGCTCCAGAGAAGGAAGAAGGTGGCCCTGCCCAAAGGCTGGAAGAACAAGGATCTCCATTGACATCTTTTGGTGATTAGAGGAAGAAGTAATTTCTTTGCATACAAAGAAATCATTATTAATAGACCAGAGGAGGTAATGTAAAGACAAAAAGCAAAAGTTTGATGCACTGAAAGTTCGGTGTGAATGGTGGTTTGCGAGTTTGTTTTTTCATCTTTTGATAACAATAAAAAGAAAAATAAAGTAAAATGGATAATTAACAATTTAGATTGCAAGTTAGGTTTATTAATTAGGATTTAAGTGTGTAGCTAATCCTAATCCATTTGTATGTGCGCACTATGCGTTTTCTATTTAACCAATAAAAGAAAAGATTAAACTTGTATAATATGTAAGTCTTCTCTTCGTGGTCATCACATAGTATGTACCATGGTTTTATAGAGCATGTCATGTTCATTCATTGTGTATTGTCTATTTAACCGATCGCAAAAAAATTATAATTCAAATTTTACCATTAAATTCAGATATTTATTGTGTTCATGGCCTTATTATAATAAATTTAACATATGCCTTTAGAATTGAAATATAATTAAATTTATTATCTTTATAAGCAATTAATATTCAAATTGAACCGTGAATTAAATATTAATCTGATTGGTATTTTCTCTTTTTATAAAAATATAAAGAGTGAAATGTCTTAAATTCAAATTCTCTCTGACCATAGTAATTTTCACATAATATCACTCTTACCTATTGAATTTAAGTTATGAGCCGATAGTCTTCAGGTTGAATTTAAGTTGGGATCAGATGTTGATAAATCAAATATATTCTTTAAAGAAGTGGTTAAAGTTAACATTCTAACTGCAAGTTTTTTTAAGGCGGTGGAAGTGCTCAGAGTATTATGCTGCTTCTTTGCCGATAAAAATAAAAATAAAGATTTTTTGCAGAAAATTGAAAAAAATCTTTGGCTTGCTACTGGGCGGGCGTCAACACTACGCGACATATATTTCAATTTTGATCATAAATTACAATTGCAATTATCAAATTAGAGAATAGTAGAAAAATATAAAGAATGGGAAATAATTGGAAAAGGTTATAAAGTTTTGGATATATTAGTAATATTCCTTGCTATTTTTAGGTCTTATAGAACTTTTGTTCCACCCAAACTTTAGTAGGCTGTTTAGACATTAGTTCAGCTTTTACTATCAAGTCCTCTTACCGGAACGCAATATGTATCCGTCCATACGTTATCAGGTAACGCTAGTCACCTTCCAAGTTCCACGGAACAAGCACCGCCGCCACTGCCAAAACTACCATCACCACCATATACAAGTTGGGCCGTTAGAGACTAAGTTATCAAGCAAATGGCGGGTATTTGAATGTGCAGCGTTAAGCAAACAAGGGCAGCGATTCCTGTCTTCTCTTGCCACCGCCACGGCCGCCAGAGATAACTCGGCAACCAATAGTTTGATCAAGAAATTCGTAGCAGCTTCGCCTAAATCTATCGCTCTTGATGCTCTCTCTCATCTCCTTTCCCCTAACTCCTCGTACTCTCATCTTTCCTCTCTTGCATTCCCTGTGCGCTACTCTCTCTCCCTCTCTCTCTCTCTCTCTCTCTCTCTCTCTCTCTCTATCATTTTCTCTTACAATCTCTCTATCTCTATCACTCTCTCTCACAATCAAGCACTTATAGATTTGGCTCTCTCTCTCTCTCTCTCTCTCTCTCTCTCTCTCTCTATCATTTTCTCTTACAATCTCTCTATCTCTATCACTCTCTCTCACAATCAAGCACTTATAGATTTGGGCATTTTTGTTGCAGCTTTATTTGAAGATCCAAGAAGCACATTGGTTTGATTGGAATCCAAAACTAGTTGCTGAAGTTGTTGCTTTGCTTGATAAACAAGGGCAATACAATGAGTCAGGAACCCTAATTTCTGATTCAATTTCTAAATTAAAGCTTAGGGAGAGAGATCTTGCTTTGTTCTATTGTAATTTGGTTGAGTCTCACTCCAAACAGAATTGTGTACAAGGTTTTGAAGATTCTTTTGCTCGTTTGAATCAATTGGTTTTTAGTTCCAACTCTGTTTACATAAAAAAGCAAGCTTATAAATCTATGATTAGTGGATTATGTGAAATGGGAAGGCCTAAAGAAGCACAAGATTTAATTGAGGAGATGAGAGGGAAAGGAGTGAAGCCTTCAGTCTATGAGTTTAGATGTGTTCTACATGCATATGGAAAATTAGGATTGTTTCAAGAAATGCAAATGATTCTCGATCAAATGGAAAGTGGAGGGTTTAAAGTTGATACCGTTTGTTCAAATATGGTTCTTTCTTCTTATGGAGTTTACAATGCACTCCCAGAAATAGTATCATGGCTTAAAAAGATGAAGGATTTGGGGATTCCATTCTCATCAAGGACTTGTAATTCGGTCTTGAATTCATGTCCTACGATGATGTCCACGGTGCAAAACTCAAATGCAAATACTTATCCGATTTCAATTCAAGAGTTGATGAAGATTTTGAGAGGAGATGAGGCCATGGTGGTTAATGAATTGATTATTGGTTCTTCTTCAGTTTTGGAAGAGGCAATGCAATGGGATGCATTGGAGTCTAAGCTGGACTTACATGGAATGCACTTATGTTCAGCTTATTTGATAATGTTGCTTTGGTTCGAGGAAATGAAAAACAGATTTAATGGTGGAAATTATGTGATTCCAGCAGAGATTACAGTGGTTTGTGGTTCAGGAAATATGTGATTCCAGCAGAGATTACAGTGGTTTGTGGTTCAGGAAATCATAGCATAGTTAGAGGGGAATCTCCTGTCAAGCGAATGATAAAAAGCATTATGGTTCAAACGAGAAGCCCTATGAGAGTTGATAGGAAAAACCTTGGTTGTTTTATTGCCAAAGGAAAAGTTGTCAAGGAATGGTTGAGCTAACTTTCAATAATGCATCTAGTTTGTTTAATTGAATTTGAAATCAACTTATCGGATGTGATTAAAAAAAAAAAAAAAAGGATATTTCAAATATCATATGAGGTGTCGTTTGAAATCCATTTCAAATGAGTTCTCAAGTACAGTATGAAACTAAGTACTCGACGAGAGGAGTTGATTTGGAAAATCTATACTATAATCAAATTATACATCTCACATTTCAAATCATTGCATCCAAACGTTTCAATTTTTCAAGCTGAGATGATTATGGAATGATTAAGGTAACTCTATAACCTACTTTAGTACATATACATAATAGCATATATACAGAAAGAAGAATGCACGACAAAAGCTATTATGCACCTGATGTGTACCTCAAGTTACTCAAGTGCGCGCCTTGCAACTTTAATAACTGTTTAAAACCAAGGCATCCACCATATATACATCTTTCCAAGATTTTTGTGTGACACTGCTTCGGCAATTAATCGACTAATAACTGTTTAAAACCAAGGCATCCACCATATATACATCTTTCCAAGATTTTTGTGTGACACTGCTTCGGCAATTAATCGACGAGCTTGACCTTCCACAGCCAGAGGCAAAGAAGGCGCTGCTCCAACACCAACAACTACACCTTGCAGCCTTGATTCAATATTACTAATTGCTCTCTGCAATGCTCAACACACCACCATTTCGACAATTAGATCAATTAGAAAATTTAACCTCAAAACATCCATATGAGACGAGCATAATGAATTCAGAAATATTAGCTATATGATTTTCTTGGGCAAGTCCCTACTCAAGATTGTCTACATCCTACAGAATTTGATTTACCAATGCCTATAGTAAAAATACTAAAGATGTTAACCTGTGCATGCGGGTTTTGAACTTCAACCCCACTCGATTTATGAGATTTTGTCCACTCCACAAGAGGATCATGAATGAAAGTCTCAAGAACACTCATCAAAGTCTCCCTGTGGGTCCTCAGTACTGAAAGTGTGATTTCGCATACCCGTAAGAAGATGCCCTCACATCCAGTGATGCCCAAGCCATCAATCATGTTCTGCAAGTTATCCAACAGTCATCACAAGAATTGAAAACCAGGTTTGGAAAACCACATGCAACAAGAAATGATCCTAAACTAGAGATCGTGGTGAGATATTATGTTGGATATCTATAGAATGTAAAAACTGAAGACAATTGGGTAGAACGTCCAGCAATTCATATAAAGTATTTGCATTGTCTCTCACTTGTAAATTATAATCAAATTCTAGCACCACTCAGAAATATATCATAAGCAGCTACAGAAATGCAAACACAGATTACCTGGGTTAACCTAAAAGGTACCAGCTCAGGCTTCTCCAACTGCAAGCCTTTATCAAATAGGCAACTGAAATCTACATGAACACAATCACCTGTTGTAGAGTCAAAGAGAATGTTTTCGCCATGCCGGTCTCCTAGCCCCACAATATGCCCAACCATTGACCAAACTGCAGTAGTGTGTGCATAAGCAATCCGAGCCCTAAACCAAGCGGCAGGCTCAGAAAATGTGGTTAAGAACCATTTGTGGAAAATTGGAGGGAACATCGGAAGAATCTTATTCTTCAGCATCTCATCTTCTGGCATTTTGCCTTGGCATTGATCATAAAGCCGTTTAATTTGAGGATTAGTCTTCTGCCTATCAAATTTTCCACATGTTATATATAGGTCTTGAAGAATATGCCGCAGTCCACGAGTGTGGGGCACCCATTCCACCATACCACAGTCTTCTGTTAGAGGAATCACTGCAAAAGTACGAATATATAGTTTCCTTCGGCGGCTTTCAGGATATTTGGATAATAACCGGTTGATCATTGCATTGAACTCCATCATGCGAGCATCCTTCCTAAGGTCATCCTTGGGTTTGCAGAGAAATGGACGTTCAATACCATCACTACCCAACAAAACAACCTGAATAAACAAAATAGGTCAGCAGTCACAAAAATGATCTTCAATATGTTGTATAATGGACTTTTAGATACAGAATAATTCACTTAAAACACATGGACATGGAATGACAAACTCAAATTAATGGAGTTGGCAAGAATGACAAATTAATGGATGTTGAATATATGCTGAGTAGAGGGTGTAATCACCGAGTCAAAATCGATACAGTGCGGAGCTCAAGTGTAACTAGATTAGACAACTCAAGACTCAAAACCAGACTTGAGCTTGTTCGAGTTTTAATTTGAAAGTTCAAACTTGGCTGGAACCAATAGTCAAACTCAACTCGAATAAGCTCAATTACCATTAAAAAGTAAAAAATTTGTTAGTATAAAATTAAAACAGAAATAAGCTTGAATTTGAGCTCGAATTAGCAAACTATTACATATTTTATATAAAATATATTATATAATAGAAAAAATAATTTAAATTATATTAAATTTAAATGCTCAATTACACTCGCAAGTAACTTCGATCAGATAATTTAATACTCAAACTCAGGTCAACTCATTACTTGAGGTCAAGCTTGACATGATTAAAACTGGTGAAATTCGAGTATTTGTAGCTTGCATCGCTTACACCCGACCCCACCCCACACACCACCCCCCCCCCGGCGTTGCCAAGAGAGACTAGATGATAAAATATTTCCCCCCCCCCCCCCGGGCAGTTGCCAAGAGAGTAGCATGATAAATTATTTCTACTTGTCTAATATTGGAAGCTCAGTGTGAGCTAGAAAACCAACTGATCTGAATCAACTTAATTACTAGTGAAAAGAATGGAAATCATAATCCATTAGAGTTTTGGTATGAGTCAAGTTTTTTATCATATTCAAGTGAATTAAATAGTTTTTCATGAAAAGAAAAAAACAGGAGGTATGCCTACAACAATGATTGATGAACTTTTCAAAAATAAGTTTCTTTTTGCAAAAGTGAGGACCTTCTAAAATTTCAGGACTACCTCAAACAACATCCTGTGCAGGCTGTGGAGAACAGAATTATGAGTGCCCATGTTATGAACTAGAGATGTTTCTACAAGGAATTAAATAAACGAAAATGCACAATGAAATTTGAAGCTTCTTTTCTGGAATCAAAATGATAAAAGAAAATACCTTCTTTGGCCGTTGCAGTGATGAAAGAATCTCAGCCTCATCAGAAATTCCTGAAATTGTTGGAAGATCAGAGGCAGAAAAGATATCAGAGGTAAGAGAGTCAGAAAGACTGGTATTATAGGTTGGTAAACTAACGGTAAGAGATTGTTGAATTGGCATAATAATTCCCAATGGCATCATCCTTTTCAAGGAGCTGAATTCAGTAGAGATATTTATTGTCCTTGCTTTTGGCTGGCCTGGGTGGAAGCACAACTTAATCAGATGATCAATCAGGCTAGCAAACTGAACAAACAAATTGCTGCCATTGTTTCCTTGGCTGAACCCTTTTTTAGCCTCTTGTATGATTGCTGCAGCTGCCTCCCGTCTTGAAGGGACTGTGGATTTTGAAACAGCTGCCATAATCCACAATGCTTGTTGCGGGTATTGCCGGAGGACAGAGGTGATGATGCGTTTGACCAATTTAACAATTTCCTCGTTCTGATGGCACACTCTAGAGACCAACTGAGGCAACACTGTTAACCATTGATATGTTGGCAAATCCTTCAAACAGCCTCGCATAATACTCATTACCTGCAAAAGAACAACATGAGAAAACATCATTAGAAAATAAGACCAAGGAAAGAGTTACAAATAAAACCAATAAGTAAAAATGAAAATACTAGCTTTCATCTCAAATATTACAGTACCTTCTCATGAACCTTTTTCAAATCTTCATTGGATGACGAGCCACATCTCTGATAACCACTACCAAAGTCAAACCACAAGGTCAGCAATCTTGGAAGTGCTTGAAAGAGATTTTTGTGGCCCTTATGAAGTCCCTTGGCATAGAATAATAGTACATCAGGTACAGAATACCACCAACGCTTCTCAGTAGTCGAAGGAGAAACAACAGCAGATGCCAATGGTACTGGTCTGGGACCTAGTTCAGAATTATCTTCCTGACGTTTTCTGGCATCAACAAGTACCTCATCACAATACTTGGCTAAATAGAAGAAACCTTTATCCCACTTAGGCTGCAGTTCCCTAACCCTGGAATAAAGTGTTATAACATCTTCCTTCTGCTTTTGTCCAGTGTAATGAATCCATCTGGTATATAGTAGGAGAGTTTTTGCAATATCTTGATTCTCTTTTGAAGCTTGCGTATCACAAAGTGAAGGTTGGGGATTCAGTGGAACCAACGAAAGACTGGTAATCGATGACCTTGCAGCCGGGCCTACAACCTTCTCAGGCATTTGCAGAAGAGCTTGTTGCAATTCTGCAATAGCACCATCTGATCTCCTAGTACTCCACTGAAGCTTGGCCTTTTCCATATGAACATTAGGTGCACCTGAAGCCTGAGCTTCTAGAATTGCTCGATTTGCAGTCTCATAATGACCAGCCAAGCGACAGAGCTTCGCATATTGAAGCCAGCAGTTCCCAACTTGAGCACCAAGACCACTAGCACCAAATACCAATCTCCGAAAAGCTAAAAGTGGCTCCCTTGCCCAAAGAGATGGTTGTGTAAATCTGAGCCGACTTTCCCAGTTATTCATCAATTTTGTGAATTCTAGATCACCCAGATGAAATGTCTTCTCCAAGAAAGAGTTGTCGCCAAGAGAAGTATGGAAGTCCTCCAGCTCTCTCAGCAAGTGAAGTTTCACAACAAATGGATAAGCCCGTACATAGGAATCCATGCCTGCAGCAGCAAGAGGAGCAATGAGAGCTTGTTTGGACAGAGCAATCTTCTCAGCAACTGAAAATTGATCCTTTTTCATCATAGCCTGGAGAATCTTTGCGACATCCATATCAAAGGAAGCATTACTCTCAGAGCCGCTACATAATAAACCTTCTTCATCAGCCCCACTAAGGTACTCATCCATCATATCCCACTTGCCAAGCCTCCATGCTGCCTGCACACCTTGCATAGACCATGTTTTCTTGTATTGAGGAACCCTAGAAATTAAACCATCAACATGAGTGACCATGGCCTGAAGATGGCACATGTTCAGCAGACAGTTAAGCACATCCGAGTGACTCTGAACCGAATCGGGCTCCATCTGCAAAGCCTGCTCACAAAAGGTTAAAACCTCTGCCCAATTTCCTGCCTTTTTGTTTATTAGGAGCTGGTCCTGTAAGCTTAATGATTTACGTAAACAAGCCAATCCAGATAAACCATCAGGTTCATCTAGACAGCTGTATATTTCCATCAGATAGGAAACATCTTCATCCTCAAAATTGCCGCTTCTCTCAGCTGCTGGGTTGAAGGAGCCAGACTTCATACGCACATGAGATTCAAAATACATCAAAGACCTTGCGTAAGCCTGGCATCTATAGGAGGCCTTAGAAAGGGTTAGCTTTGGAATTGCAGTCAAAAGCTCAGAGACATATTTACATTGTGTAAGAAGTTGATCCTGGTCTGTCAAAGAAGTTGAACTTTGATCTTTGGACCTGGATGATTGCTTCCTAGAAGCCGATGCTTGGAGAGATTGAGAAAGAGCTAGTTCTTGCTCTACATCATCCACCCATTGGCCAAGGTTATCAAGGAGAGTGAACACAGCTTGGATGCAAACCTCACTCTGGCCACTGCTGAAAACATGAACCATAGCACTGTTATCTGAGGCAGCAGCATCAAGAACTGATAGGATTTCCTCAGCTATGCCAAGGCGTGCTTCCTCAGTACCATGACAAACAGCATTTAAAACTAAATAAGGCAGCAGATAAATTGCCAATTGCATATCATGACGCACAATACCTCGACAAGCATTAAAGATACTCGCACGAGATCCAGTTGCATGTGCAGTCAACTTTTTTATCCAGAAAAATATCCATCTTCTGAAAGACATAGAAGGACGGTAAATTGGGCCAGCTGATGCAGAATCAGCTACATTTGGAAGCTGAAACCTAGAGGTTAAGCAAGGGGCTATTATCTCTTTGACATAGTTAGAGAACCGGTCCCACAGTCGCTGACCCCTACTATTCACTCTACTAGTATTTTCAGCACTCTTATCCTTCAGTATTTGTGATGAAGAAGCAGCAACATTCTCGTCCAATGATGCCTTACAGCCTGCAATTTTTAGCAGCTCCTGTATTGCCAATGCAGCTGAGTCTTGAACAATAGTATCAGGTGCAGCTCTAAAAGCCCTAGCCAGATGTTTATGGATTAACTCAAAGATAAGGTCATCATCCGAACATTCAATTTTAAAGCGTTGGCATGAAAAACCCTTCACTTTGGCAGGATCAACTGCACCTAATGCTCCAAGACAATCAGCACAAACCAGCTTCAGCCGCTGTCCCACTACAGTCCTTGACTCTTCTGCACAGCCTCTTAGTAAGGATGTAATCAATGAGCTCAAAACATCAATTTCTGCAGCAACTTCACCAGTGATCAAGGCTGTGATGTCTTCCCTTCTCAAGTTGAGTAATTTGCTCAGCTCACATGCTACCATATACCTTACATTCAAGTTTTCATGGTTCAAACCATCAACAACATCTCTTAATTGATCCTTCAAAGTCATTGAACCACGAGCTTCCTGAATAGCTTCATTTACTTCTCTTAGTGCAGGAATACTGGGTAAGGGAGGGAACTCACGTATATGCTGCTTCAAGAGAATTCTGTTCTTTAACACAAGTTCTTCCAAAATTTTCACAACTCCATTCAAATGCATAGAAGGGTTTTCTTTATATCTTTCCAAGATGGGAATAAGTGCAGCAAACACTTGAGAAATTACATGTTTAGTGCTAGATGGTGATCTGCTCGCCAATTGCATAATGAAAAAATGCAAAACACATAGCCCCTCACTTTGTAGTGATTCTTTATCAACAGCATGCATGAGAAGAACCATTAATTTTGGGACATAAGTATTAAGCTGAGATCCCATCATTTCAATCAGCATCTTAATACGTTGTAAAGCTTGCTTCTGCAACCAAAAATCCTCTGAATGAAGCATTTTTCTATCAATACTGTTAAGGAGGCCAACAAAATGATTCCTCAAAAAGACTGGAAGATCTTCTGCACCTGTCAGAACTCTGGCAATTTCTTTTATCATCTCAGGCACTCTTGATAACCTGCATATGAAGAAAATTATTGTAACTGGTAGAATGGAAGTTACAATCATACATTGGCAACACTATAATTATCAGTAAGTAGCCAAGAATTAAAGAGAGAGAGAGAGAGAGAGAGAGAGAGAGAGAGCAAAAACAATGTCAAAATGATAGAAAGCTAAAGCTATTTAGAATTCAATTCCTAGTTCAAAATTGAAAAAAAAGAGATCATTATGCTCAATAAGCATGGCTCATTTCAATGAATGGCCCAAGCTCAAGCTTGAGGAAGCTCAGCTTGTTAAGGCTAGTGAACTGGCTTGTTTATTAGACTCGCAAACTAGTTCATTTAATAGGCTCATGAAATAGCTCGTTTACAGATTCCTTTATATTATTTATAGCATTTTGTAATGCACTAAATATATTAGTTTTATTAATAATTATTCTATAAATTATCACATACATAGTTATTATTCAAAATTATATAAAAATAAAAAACATATATTATATATGACTAACTTATGCGATAGTTAATACTCTACAATTCTCCCATATAAAGAATTAGTAGAATTAATATTCTACTAATTAGACAATTATTCATTATGATATAAGAGTTATAAATCATACATCACAATAATAAAATGAAATTATGATTAGATAATACACTAAAATAGAGAATATTTTTCTGCCAAAACTACATAACTTAGAATTGAATTTCATTAACATAACATACATAGTCTAACACCACTTCCTATATAAAAATTAATTGTATATAATATTAATTTTAAATATATTATTTATTTATTTAAGCGTTTTATTTATATAAAATTAATTTAATTAAACTACATCATTTTAGATAAAAATAAATCTACTACTTTGTTGCCTTTTTGTAGTAACTCATAAAAATAAATTTAATGATATGTTTTAAATAAATGAATTATATTTTCTTTTTATGTTTAATTTAACGATATGTTTAAATAAATGAATTATATTTTCTTTTTATGTTTAATTTAACTATATATATATAATACTATATATATATATATTATAACACACACACACACTACGACTAGATAGTAATTATTAAATGTAAGTTAATCATGTAATTTCTCATATATAAAAATTAGAGTATACTCCTTATAGTATACATGTGAATATAACATATTATATATATATATATACACACACACACACTACGACTAGATAGTATTATTATGTAGTTAATCATGTAATTTCTCATATATAAAATTAGAGTATACTCTTATAGTATACATGTGAATATACATATTAGTACTAGGAATAAATATATTAGAAATAATTTAGCTATTCCATATGAATCGGCTATACATAAATAATTGAGAGAACTACTATAATAGATAACTACATGATAGTTATAGAAATTATTATTGATTAAACAGTTTATATTTGTGTTGTTGATAAATCAGGATCCATTAAAACGGTTAAATGATAATTTGTGTGTTTACTATGTTCGGGTAAATTCTTGATGTTTAATAGTGAATTTTGCCAAGAGGGTCCGAATTTCCCTTATTGTCTAAGATAGCCATTAACAATCGGTTATCTTTTTAGAGGGACTTTAGGAGATCAATAGAGAGGATATCACCACTAACAGTTATAGACATGTAGGAAGTCATCATTTATATTTTATTTATGATTTCTACCACTAAAATATCATTATAATATCCAGCATTATGATTGATCATAAATAATTACGAACAGTATCATTATATATAAAATTTCTATCTCTGTATTATGATAACTAGTATTATAATTTTAACTAATATTATAATAGTAATATAAAATACTATTACCAGCATAATAATACTATTACAATTGTGTGTGTGTATGTGTGTATCTGCGCGCACGCGCGCGCATCTGCACAGAATATAAATAATCAAAGCAACTTTGAAGGTTTATACCTTTGGCTTATCTCACCTAGATCACCACCATCCAGAAAGCATACAAGTTCATCTAAAAGTGCAGGCAGTGCAGCAGCAAATATTTCTTGGTTGTCAGAACCAGTCTGATCATGATAAAACTGTAAAGTAGAGAGTAATTCCTGTCTTTCTGCTCGATGAAGCGCAAAAGCAAGCACTTTAGGTAGCCAATTAACTATCAAGGGCACCATGTCAGTGTTTAAACACTTGGCTAACTCCAACAGGGTATGAACTGCTTTGTCATTTTCCTGGCGAGACACCACCAGCTTTGGAAGAACTATGGGGATCATTTTTTCAACAAGTTCTTTTGTCTCAACACCAATTACAGCTTCTGCAAACTCTCTGACCATTTCTGGACGACTAGTGAGGCTCATAGTTAGATACTCAAAGAGTTCACTTCGGATATGAACAACTTTTGAAAGAACTAATTCAAACCGTCCTTTAAGATGGAAGAAGCAAGATTTATGTATTAGCCTTGACACACTCATTCTTACTGTCATGTGTGGATTATCAAGTTGATCAACCAACAAAAGAAGAGAATGCAAGAAAAGTTGACTAGAGATATCTACTGCAATCATAATTTGAGCTGTTGATTCTAGAAGAGTCTCAAGGATTTGAGGATCCTCAGCTGCTGCCATAGCATGTTTCATTATATCCAAGAACTTCAGTTCTTTAGTTTGATTTGCTGAATCCCCCTCTAAAAATAAGCTATTTAATATTGAACCATCAAGGAAGGAACTGATCTGATTGCAAAATGCTTCCCTTACAGCCTTCTTTGTATTAAGCAGTAAGAATTCAACACATCTAATCCATTCAAATCTTGTCTTGGTCAGAATATCTGCAGTACCATGGACAAGTATGCGTCGAATTATTCTCACACAGCCAACTTGAACCTCTTCCGAAGAGTCATCATAAAGAAATTTAAAGAATAGGGATTGAAGATGAATGAAATCACAATTCAAACCAACTTCAATTTGCATATCAGGTACTCGTATTATTTTATACACCTCATGATTAGGCATAACACTTTTGTCACACTTTGAACACCAGAAACCTTGTAGTATGCAATCTACTGTCTGATTACGTTTCCCATTATTGACATCCAAAAAAAACTTGCATTCAACCTCATCTGGACCATCAACACTGCTGTAACGTCCATAAAGGCAGGACAAAAAACCAAGAGAGAAGGGAATGATTTTTTTAACTCTATCATGCTCTTCTCTCCCCAAGAATCTGCAAATTGAGAGATGATAAGCAAAATAGACCCTTCAGTCAGAAGTTTCAAATTGATCTAGCTACATGCACAAGGTGTACAAGATTAATTTATCAAATAATCTCCTGTGACAATCTTTTTTCTCTACTAACATCAAGCCTACAATATTCTTAAAATTAGGCATGCAATAGTAATGCAAACCAAAACATCCAAAAAGTGAATAGCATAACATAAGCAACAAACTAGTCCCTTTTAACTGTCCAATGAAGCAGAAACTTAATTCTGCTTAGTGAAGATCAGTTTGGGAGCAGAACTTTTTATTTGCCCAACACAATTGAAAACCCTGAGACAAAATAGCAGATTATGTATGCATGCTTATTTTGTGCATGTGTGCCATTACAATCAAATAAAGGACAGCTACATGAATCCTTTCTCATCATGGGCTGTCTGCCACCCTTTGACAAGGGCTGTAAGATCCAACAAACATCACATCCCAATTATGTTTTATCAATTGAGAAAACTTTCAAAAGCCTTATACTTCCACCATAGCCAAAACTAAAAATAAACAATAAAAATATTGCATTAAAGTAATTGTGCTTTTTCATAGAATTTCAAAAAATCTGCTCAACCTCCCAGGGATACAAATTGATAACTTCCAAAATCTAGCAAATAAATGATATTTAGTCGTTCCTAACTCTTTCGAATCCCAAGCAACTGTGTGCCTAGAATTGTTTAACCAGTTCCCTAATCTAATTTAAATCTAATATTTTGAGTCTGATGCTCCCACTGCAAATGATAATCTTCCAATTAACAGTTACAACCACATTATAATCTATTGATCTAGTAAATTTAATAATAAATCACAACCAGAACAAGTGTGCATTTGCATGCATGGAGGGATTTGCAAAATTAGAAATCTCCATTTGGATTTGATTACACATCAATCAAATCCTTACTGGAGCTCAATTTGAAATATTTATAAAGAGACATAATTTCAAAACTACCACAAATAAGCTCTTGTCCAAATTCCAGAATCTAACTGTTAACTTTCATTTTAAAAAAAAAAAATAAATAAAGAAAATAATAATATCTCAAATATATCTGAATCCCTTCCTTTGAAATCCTCTCATTCAAACATAGAATGAAAGAACCATTTAAATATTTTGAAGATTAAGCAAAAAATCCTATTGTTGCAATAAAACAAGTTAAGCTGAGTAAGAATGCATACAGTTACAGTATGTGTATGATCACGTTAATGCAAACTTACAGAAACATGCAAGACAAATAGCACATTGATTTTCCCTAAAATAAACACTTCATGCCAATAAAATCTCCAGTTCAGACTGTCATGTTGACATACAACTGTTTGCTCCAAAAATCTAGTGGTAGTCCAATAAATTTGAATTACTGAATCGAAGCATTACTTCTTGGTTGTACTATTTATTGATGGACAGCCCACCAGCAAGATAGCAATAAAGATACAACTTTTTTGAAAGATTTTTTTAGCTAAAACAAGATCATGTATTTTTATGACAAAGCATCAAATCAAAATCAATGCTTTCAGAACTTACTCAATCATCAAATTAAGTAAGAAGTTGGTGAAGGGATAAGGGCTGAAGTGCTGTATATATACATATATATGAAATCATATTAGTATAAATAAATGAACATTTAAGATAAATAAATCAAATTACACCATACTGTATTTTTCTTTTAAAAATAATTTGGAAGTTCCAACTATGAAAATAATAGTATTCTGAAAGAAAAAAAAAAATCAAAATAACTAAAATGGTTGCCAAACTTCTTATGCCGCAAGAGCTACGCCATACCCTCATCAATTCGACATTTATCCTTGCATTGAATGATTTTGTTTTTTAATCTTTTCAAACTGAGGAAGAAACGCAGGAGTAAAGCAAACCAAACTTGAAAATCAGACTAACTAGTCCCAAACCAAAAATCTAACCTAACCAGTCCCACCTGTACTGGTTAGCCTATTGGCCCTCTACCACTCTAAGTCATTTGGTTTTCATTGGACATGATGATTTCCCTCTCTGTTCAGGTCTTAAATAAAACTCAAAATTTCAGATTATGTGATATCAGATCTTAGCAATTACACCAATAAAATGAAATTTTATCTTATATGCATGGAAAAGTAACAGACAATTTTCTACAGTTCACTTACTCTAGCCTTTTGAACATTTGTGCAAGCAGACCAAGACCAGACCACAAGACAATCACTGGCATGGAAATGATAGTTTCCAGTCTAACTTCTTCAGCTTTATCATGAAGACCCAAATCCAAGACTTCCAGAACATTTTCAGTATTCAAACTAGCGCCAAGCTTGGACACAACTTGGATAGAGGTACATTTTGCTTTCCATGGAGAATGCGATCTAGCAACCACACCATAATGAGTCCATGGAAGCTTTAGCACCATGTGTATAAGATCCACCTCATCACCCTTAAGTTTGAAAAACTTGTCCGCCATGAGAAAGGTACCTAATTAAAAAGACAGCTTCACAAGTCAAATGGAATAACTGCATAAATATAGGTACGATTATAAAGTTCTACAGTTAAAACTATAAATCAGTTAAAGAGAACCATCTTAAATTTTCAACGAATAACTATTTAACAATATCTTATCAAAACAGTATCAAAAACTAAGGGCCTGTTTGGTATGCACGCTGTTTTTATTTTTGGTTGTTACAAGAATAAATAACTGCATCCATACAAAATGATTTGAGGAAATAAGCACAAATACTTTGCAATTTAGTTTATAGCAACCTGTTTTTCTCTTTACGACATCAAGTAAGAAAAATGAAAGCACGACCAAGTCAAGAAGCATCCCACATGTGTGGGCTCTGGGGAGGATTGATGTATGTAGCCTTCACCCTACTTTCTTGTAGAGAGTTTGTTTCTGTGGCTCAAACCCAGGATCTCCAGGTCATAAGTAGAGGATTAGACAAAGTTTTAGCAACATAATTTTCTTTTGACTGTTAGACAACAACAACCAAAAACAATAAGGACAATAAGTCCACCCTTAACTTCTTTCTTCTATCATTAGATTTTGAAGGAAAAACTAATAAAGTCTGCTTCAAAAACTTGTGCACAGTTTCATGCTATAATGATGCAGGAGCAATCCTAGTCCTAATTGGATTCCTAGCACAACTAGGATTTTATTTAATTTACTGTTTTATTTCAGATTTGCATTAGTTTTATGCTATAATGATGCAGGAGAATTCCTAGTCCTAATTGGATTCTCTAGCAACAACTAAGAATTTTATTTAAATTTACTGTTTTATTCAGATTTGCATTAGTTTTCCGTTTCCTTATTTTGATTAAAGGATTTACTATTTATCATTGAATAGGAATAGAGTTTTAATTCTTTCTTAATTAGGATTCCTAATCTATTAGGATTTAATCACTAAAAATAGAACAGCACTAGTAGCATTGTAAATCATCTTTTTTCCTCATATTTTAATTCAAAAGGTTATAAACCTAATTATTTACTGTTCCACCTAAAACAATCAACCCTATTCTACTTACTTGTTAAAAACATGAACAGCCCCTACATCTTCCCCCTGCGTCAAACTGTATCAGAGCACAAAAACAATCCCTAGGATTCTTTTTTTTTTGTCTGAAATTAAACCAATGGTTGGAAGAGGCAGAGCAAGAGGCCAGAGGCAATCAGCCCCCAACAATGAAATGAACATAGCTTGAGAAATTGGCGGCGAATGATTGAGGATTTGAAACCCCGGGCTGTTACAAGCCTTGCAGCGTCAGGAACCCGTGGAAGCCCCGAATGGAGACTCCGGGAAGGCAACCAACAAAACCTTGATTTTCAAGAAGCTCTTGAGAGTGAAGAGGAAGTCGAGGAACGTAAACCCCTTTCATGAAGCTGGACCTGCAAACCCACCAGCAGCACGAGGCATGATTGGAAGAGCGTTTACCTTTCATGCTTCTTGATTTAAATAGTGGAGGAGTTAAAATTGAAGTTGCTGATTTTTTTATGGAAAATCGGCATGCCGAAGACTATTTAAGATTGGAAACCTAAGTTTAGAAAATTATTTTGAATGGAACAATGTTGAAACCCGAAAAGTGCTTTTTGTAAAGCTAAATAAAGTTATTTTGAATGGAAACCAATGGTTGAAACTCGAAAAGTGCTTTTTGTAAAGCTTAAATTAAAGAGTACTGCACTTCAATGGTGGAAGAGAGTTGAGGAGCAGCGTGCACGACAAGGAAAGCTTAAAATCAGCAAGTGGGAGCACATGAAAACTAAGCTAAGGAAGGAATTTTTAGCAGCTGATTACGCTATGGAACTATATGAAAGGTTCCACTACTTGAAGAGTACACTGCAGAATTTAATAATTTGTCCATTCGAGTTGGAATATCTGAAAGTAATGAACAAATTACCTCTTGCTACCTTGCTGGTTTAAATCAGTCCCTTAGAGATGAAATGGGCATAGTTTGATTACACAATCTTGAAGATGCTCGCCAATATGCCTTAGCAGCTGAAAAGTGAGTTTCTTGTTACGGTGCTAGAAGGCCCATAAATAGAAGCAATTGGCAAAATAATTTCGGAGCTGCAAGAGAGATTCAAACAACTCAACGAAGCGGGAAAGAGGCTGCCGCTACTAATAAATACAATGAAGAGACAACCTGTGTTGATAGGAACGATAAAGGGAAAGGTATAGTACCTTATGGTGGACAAAACAATTTTGGTTCGTCTATAAGGAGAGGCAACAATTCTCAAGTTCGTTGTTTTACTTGTGGAGAAAAGGACATACTTTATTCATTTGTCAACAAAGTAGGGTGAATTCAGCCGAGTATGACGGAGACCTAGGCCCTTTTTTTGATGAATATGATGAGGAAGTAGAAGAAATTAATGTTCATCCAGCTCAAGGTGAGTCTTTAGTTGTTCGAACAGTCATGATAGCCATGAACAAAGAAGGAAAAGAAGATTGGAGGAGGCATAGCATTTTCTGTACATGTGTTATTTGTGAAGGCAAAGTGAGTGTGTAACATTTAAGTCATTGATTGGAGGAAGAAGTATGGAAAATATAATATCAAAGGAGGCTATAGAAAAATTAAAGCTTCCTACAACAAAACATCCTCATCCATGCAAAGTAGGCTGGTTGAAGAAAGGGCACGAGATACCAATAACATCTCAATGCTTAGTGCAATTCATAATGGGAGATGACTTGGTAGATGAAGCATTATGTGATGTAGTACTGATGTAGTACCAATGGATGTTGGGCATATTCTAGTGGGACGACCTTGGTTGTATGATCATGATATGGACCACAAGACAAGGCCTAATACTTATTCGTTCTATAAGGACAACAAGAAGTACACTTTTCATCCTCTCAAGGAAGAAACAAGGCAAACAGCAAATAAAGGAGCTGCAACTAGTAAATTAAATGGGCTTGTAAGTGTTAAAGAATTTGCAGCTGCGCCTAATGAGGTGGGAGTCACATATGCCTTAGTGAGCAAACTAATAGGAGCTTACCAGGTTGAAAAATCAGTTGAATATTCCTTTGAAATTCAACGATTATTGCAGGAATTCAAGGAGCTGATTAATGAAGATGTACCGAAAAGCTTGCCACCATTAAGAAGTATCCAACATGCTATTGATTTGGTACCAGGAGCAGCTTTACCAAATATGCCTGCATACCGAATGCCTCCTTTACAGCGGGCTGAAATAGAAAGACAGGTTAAGGAATTATTGGAAAAAGGTCTGGTGCGTGAAAGTAAAAGTCATGTGCCTTGCCCAGCCTTAAACACCAAGAAAGACGGTTCTAGGGGAATGTGTGTAGATAGTCCGTGCTATAAACAAGATTACAGATTAAATATCGCTTTTTCCAAATACCAAAATTGGAGATATGCTTGATCAACTAGCGGGTTCTAAAAGTGTTCTCCAAAATTGTTGAGTGGGATATCAACCAAATTAGAATGGGTGGTGGATGTGGAAATTTTTTAACACCAGATGGGTTATTTGAAAATGGTTAGTAAATGCCATTTGGCCCTTTCTAATGCCACCAAGACATTCATGGAGTCATGAACAGATGTACTCATTTCTTGAATCTTCGTTTGTGGTATATTGATTGATTTTGATTTATAGCCGCAAAGGGGGGAGATTTTAAACACTTGGCGACCAGTTCTTTTGTCAAGAAGCAGCTGCACTAAACCAATTGCGCAGTTTCCTGACCCAGAAGTGGTTCCTGGGATCATTGTGTCGGGATTAAAACCAAGAATCCAAAAGGTTCGTGCAAATTACTGATGGCAGCACCAACAATCCATCAAAGAAGTTAGAAGCTTTCATGGATTTTGTCTTTCTATATTTATCCAAAATTTCAGCTCAATTATGAGTGCTATAATTGAATCTATGAAAGAAGAAAAGTTTGAGTGGACAAATTCTGCACAAAAGGCATTTGAAAGAATCAAGTTTTTGATGACTAGAGCACCTGTTCTTGCACTTCCAGATTTTGAGAAATTATTTATGATCGAATGTGATGCTTCACATGAAGGGATTGGAGCTGTTCTTAGCCAAGAGGGCAAACCTCTTGAGTTTTTTAGTGAAAAGTTGTCTGAAGCTAAGAAGCGTTACTCAACTTATGATCTAGAGTTCTATGCCTTGGTAAGAGCTATTCGACATTGGCAACATTACTTAGCTTATCGTGAGTTTGTGGTTTTTTATGATCATCAGGCCTTGAGGTATCTAAAATCTCAGAATAAACTCAATAATCGACATGCTAAGTGGAGTTCTTTCCTTGATGAATTTAATTTCTCACTTGCTAAGTGGAAGTTCTTTCCTTGATGAATTTAATTTCTCACTAAAAGTATAAATCCGGTCATCTAAATATGTGGCTGATGCACTTGAGTAAAGATCACCTAATTTTTGTCAATTTGAGCACTCAAATTCTGGTTTTGAAGAACTGAAAACCAGGTATGATTTCAGATTCAATGTTTTGGGCAAGATAAAGGCTGATTTACTGCATGTCTTCAGGAAGCTGAAAGTCTGCCAATACCGATTGCAAAGATGGTTATTTATTCAAAGGAATAAAGCTAAATGCTATTCCCTGAAAAGGATCTTTAAAGGGAACAAATCATTAGAGAACATTCAAGGAAATGGTTTGGGAGGACACCTTGGTAGAGACAAGGCTTTTGCGATTGTTTCTGACCGGTTATTATTTGGCCAAAAAGATGGAAAAAGATTGAGAAAATTGGTGGAACGATGTCCAGCCTGTTTAACCTCGGGAAGGAAGCACGCAAAATACAGATTATATACTCCTTTACCCGGCCAGATGCAGAAACCTTGGGTTCACTGAGTATGGGATTTTGTTTTTGGGACTTCCAAGACAGCAAAGGGATTTGGATTCTATATTTGTTGTAGTTGGAATCGTTTCTCTAAAATGGGCCTATTTTTATCCCATGTTCAAGGACTCTAATGCAGTTCCATATTGCTGAGTTATTTTTTCGAGAGATCGTGAGACTACATGGTGTTCCGACTTCATTGTTTGGATAGAGATGTAAAGTTTATGGGGCATCTTTGGAGGACTTTATGGAGAAAATTTTGGACGAATTGAAATATTCTAGTAACTTGCCAATCCACAAACCAGACGGTCAGACGGAAAGTTGTCAATCGTAGTTTGGAAATCTAATTAAGATGTTCGTTGGGATGCAATTACAAAGGACATGGGATCCTAGTTATTCCCCAAGTTTTGAATTCGCATATAACAACTCAAGTCAAATCGAGTATTAAGAAGACTCCTTTTGAGGCTGCTTAATGGACTTAAACTCAAGAATGTACTCCGAATTTGGTGCCCTTGCCCCAAGAGGCAATAGAGGTAAGTGTGAAGGGGAATTGTTTGCTGATCACATCAGGAAAATTCATAACAGAAGTGAAGCTGCCTTAAAAGACAGCAATGCATCATAATGCTATACAGCCAACTCAGCATCGGCGCGTACAAAGAATTTGAAGAAGGCGAATCAGGTTCTCATCCACTTAAGACAAGAAACGTTTCCTAAGGAACTTATCAATAAAGCTGAAATCTAGAAGGTTTGGACCTTGTACAGGTGTTGAAGAAGATCAAGTTTCCAATGCCTAATGTATTGATCTTCCCATCTATTTTTTTTACACCCTCTTTTCTTTTCCATACCAATAGGAGGCCACCCTATGGTTTTCCATATCATATATCATCAGATGCACATAGGGGCACCGATCTCCCGATACATAGCCGACGGTATCTACGATCGCCCTCACAAACCCATGGTGACCCACTTCATTCCAATTCTACACAAGCAAAGCATACATAAAGCACATCACAACTAATCAAACCATTTCTAATAGCAACACATAATGCAACACAAAATAACGATTTAATAAGTAATGCATGTCTAGCATTTAGCCGTATATGCATGAATGCAAATGCAGGTGGATAATACGAATTATCCAATACTACTCATAGCATTATATGATGCAGGAGCAATCCTAGTCCTAATTGGATTCCTAGCACAACTAGGATTTTTTTATTTACTGTTTTATTTCAGATTTGCATTAGTTTTCCGTTTCCTTATTTGATTAGGATTTACTATTTTATCATTGAATAGGAATATAGTTTTAATTCTTTCTTTAATTAGGATTCCTAATCTAGTTAGGATTTATCACTATAAATACACTATAAATACGACAGCACTAGTAGCATTGTAAATCATCTTATTTCCTCATAATTTAATCAAAGTTTATAAACCTAAATTAATTCAAAGGTTATAAACCTAATTATTTACTGTTCCACCTACAATCAACCCTATTCTAGCTTACTTGTTAAAAACTGACAGCCCTACATCTTCCCCTGCGTCATATAAACATGTGATGAAACATAACAGTGATTCAAGTTTTTCCCCATAGCCTAAACTGTTGTTGCAACATGAAAACTTATAAAGACAAGACCAGAATCAATTACTTAATAGCAATCAATTCATATCAAAGTTTTTGAGGAAAAAAAAAGGAAAACAAATAAAAAAAAATATAAACATCTAGAATTTTCCTGATTTTGCTACCAAACCAACACTCCCATCACTAATTCAGGGCTAATTGTTTACCACTATAGTTTGTACCCTCTTAATGAGGATTTTATGGCAAGCCTAATAATCAGAAATGGCATGAAATTCAGAGTTCAAATGAAGTCACTAGGTTTCATTAGGAGAATATGGAACTGTCAAAAAATTCTTTGGAAAATAACGAAGAATTATTTTTAACGGAGCTTTCATAAGAACAACATCATCAACAGCAATCCCTGATTTTCAATGAAAATTCGATGCCATATATGACAGAGTAAGTTTCTTGTCTTACTTTGCATAAGCAATATGCTGTGTATTCCTTCTAGGTATATGGAAATATCAAATGTGATTGAACTGCCTTGTTTTGCCTACAAGATGCAAATTTTTAAAAACACAGTCAAGTGAAATGATAGATTTTTAATAATTTCAAAAACTGGGGCATACCTGCTCACATATCCATGGGATCCATGACTGCATCTGCTGGAAGATGCAGAGTGATATACTGGTAATTGGGAATCTACAGAAAGCAATACAAAGCATGCTAAGAGCTGCTAATGCAACATCTCGTCTTAAAGAATCAGGGTTAGCAAAAGAAGGTTTTAAAAGTTCAATAAATGGCAGCTACAGAAATGCAAACACAGATTACCTGGGTTAACCTAAAAGGTACCAGCTCAGGCTTCTCCAACTGCAAGCCTTTATCAAATAGGCAACTGAAATCTACATGAACACAATCACCTGTAGTAGAGTCAAAGAGAATGTTTTCGCCATGCCGGTCTCCTCTAGAGCATTAGCATTGGAAGCTATCATATCTTCATCTACCTTTCAGCGTTTCATCTCGATAAAGTCTATATCCTTGACACGCCTCTTTTCTCCAACCCTCAAGTTCTCAATTGATACATAATCTGATGTTGGTAAACCCACAATACCATCTATCGTTGCCCTCCCTCCAACCTTCTCAGAACCAAGGAGTGAGAGAGTTTCATGAAGGCAATCAATCAAGGAAAGGCAGGGTTCTGGAAAACAGAGAATGTGTATTAGACACTCTGACCTCCAAATATGAGGGGGGCAAGTTCTAGCAATCCGTATGTATGAACTGCAAAAAGCCACCTGGGTAAAGCGAAAAAGAAACATGAATAGAATCTAATGACTTCATTCAAGTCAGTCGCCAAATCAATAAGCTAAGCATAAGACAAAAAAGAATGCCTCACAAGAACAACCAAGATTGCAATTTGTGTTAATCAGAACCAGCTCAGCATCTAACCTTAAGCTCTTGGCTTTTGGTTCTCCGCATTGACCAAGGGAAAATATTCATTAGATCCACAGCCGTTAGCTTTACAACATCATCAGGACATCTAGAGTGCAATGCAGTGAGGCAACCACCCATGGAGGAATCATAAACCACATTTCTGCAATGCAAGCAAAATTTATTTGAGGTAATCACTGAACAAGTTCATTACAAGTTCCCTTCCACATATGACACAGAAACAAGAATAATAAGGGAGAAACAAATCCAAAACCGGCATACAGCAAAATCAACAACTGCAAAATTAGATACTGGCCTATCATAATCTAGGTCCCTTAAGCTCTTGTACATTTCCCTTAAGCCTCAGCGAATTAGCATTGATGAATTGTTCAGTTCAAGTTCTTGAGAATTAATACTAATATATAGTTAGAACTAAGAAATATGGAGACCAATAAAGCATCACCCCCTAAGATGTAAATTATTTTCTGGATGAGTGAATCTAAGTCTCATCTTTTTTCTTCATCATAGTGCATTCTGATATAACTTGATTCAGCTTTATGGCATTCCATAAGTTGGCTAGAACCGAAGACATAAAGGCCTTTCAGCAAACAAACTTTAGTAATTATGTAGAAGGACAGTGAAGTGTAGTATTTTTATTATTTGGCTATAGAGCAAACAGCAAACTCAAATTTCAAGTATTTTCCTTTTTTGCAATTATTGTGGCAATTTTTTTATACATTAAGCAAATCTGGAAAAGTTTCTTTAACAGATATTCAATTATCAGATAGCATGTCTTTCCTTTTTTAATTTTTTTCAATTCCTTTTTATTTATATTCATTGTCTTGATTTGGAGAAACATATTATATTAACCCCTCATTATCTTTCTTCTCTGTTAATAAAATTTTCTTCTTTTATAAAACAAAAGTAAATACTCATGCAAATGAAAAGTATAAACTGGCACTGACTGGAAGAAGAGGAATCTCTGTAGAAACTATGGTGCCAATTAGCACCCACCAAAACTTGGCCATGATGTGCAACATAAATCAAGAAAATACCAATGCCAATAAAGTCTAAATACAGACCTGAATATAGGAAGCCCCTCTTTGTCCTCACTTAATATTGCAGCTATTGACTGGATGATATTCTGATGAGGAATGATGTCATAATCAATTACTGACTGATGTCATAATCAATTACTGACCCAACGATGCGTGCAAAATCAAAACATGCCTTCCACAAAATTTTAACTGTCAGACAAATGTTCCAAACAATAACCTTAACCTATTTCAATTAACCAACTGAAAAACCAGTTTAAGTCCACGCTGACTTGAAGAAGATGAAATGATCAAGTTATAGAAAATTTTCAACCCACCATATGCAAGTCAAGATGTCCATAGCATAAAAGAGAACAGACAGCCGAAACTTTTGACACATTGACGAGTCCTTCCACATATAGAGTTCCTTCAGTTAAACATTTACTAAGAATCTTAATCATCCAAGTTGCAAAAGGCCGCCACCTCTCTTTGCTTGTAATGTTGACCAAGATACCAGGGCCATCCATAGGTTTACTACTTTCCGGAAGATCAGTAAGACATGTAGGGTCACCGTAAACTCTGGTAAAGGACTCACAGAAAACACTTCAAATTTAATCTAGCAAAACTAGACATGCTTGAAGTTTCAGCAGAGATTGATGCCACATGCAAGATATCTGTACACAGATAAAGAAGCATTGACTGTTACATGTATTTCATGTTGATATAATCATTGAAGAATGATCAATGCACCAAATATGCAAGACAGGAGAGGTGGTATTCAATTTTTTCCTATTACAAAGCAGTTTGTATGCCCAAAGCTGTACCACAAGTTAAAGTATCCCAACCATCTGAATGAAAGTTAAAGTATCCCAACCATCTGAATGAAATCATTATGCCATCTATTCCCAAAGAAATATTTATGGAAAGTCATTTCTCACCTTCAACAGCTGACATGGTATCAAGGAAAAATTGACAGTATGCATCTCGTGCTCCAGTGCGAAGCAAGGATAATAGAGATCCAACCGTTTCAAAAATCACCTCGTGTCGTGAGCTGAAACATAGTGGTATTCAAATAGATGTTTAGTAACATACAAGCACATCTAGATGTATGGAAAGTCATTTCTCACCTTCAACAGCTGACATGGTATCAAGGAAAAATTGACAGTATGCATCTCGTGCTCCAGTGCGAAGCAAGGATAATAGAGATCCAACCGTTTCAAAAATCACCAAAAATCACCGCGTGTCGTGTAATAGCTGAAACCATAGTGGTATTTCAAATAGACTGTTTAGTAAACATACACAGCACATCTAGGATGTATGGTTTCGGACCAGGAACTTGATAAAAGAACAGGTTAAAATAAACGCATCGTTTGCCCATATCTCATGAATGTTAGGCGCCAAAAAGAGCTTATATATGCCAAAATACGAATCTTTAAAACTTGGATTCAAGAAGAAATTTAACCAAAAACATCCTTTCCAAAAGCAGTTCGGTAAAGTTTAAGTGAATAATACAAGAATTGATCCAACAACTTTTTGCAATTAAGATTTTCAACCTGTTTGCCTAAAGGTAAGAAAATTTAGCATTTTTTATGCAACAAGTAACAAGGGAGGGTCGCATCCTAATATCTGACCAAAAATGTCATAATTTTTGTTTTTTTCAATCTCAAGAAAACTCGAAATGCTAAGTGGTAACCGCGCAAAGAATTAAAAAAATTGAAATAGAATTTCAGCAAAACCTGGCAATTTCATTTATACATATCGTTGGTGAAAAATAAACTTGCCTTCGATTCCTTTCTTTTCTGCTCAGAAAATCCATCTCGTTTAATATACTCAAAAACATAGTGTTAACTGGAGACCGCAAACCGTAATCAAACACGACTATTTGTAAGAGAAAGTTTTGAAAGTCACTTACCAAAATGAAGGTTCTCAAAAAGAATGGCAAATAATCTAACCATCACCGGCTAAGTAATAGGGGGCAACTGGCACTTTCCCATCGGTAAAAAGACGCCCAGGAAAATTCCTGCGCCGTGTGAAGATAAATTAGCCTTTATAAATAGTAATTAATATAGCAATAACTTCTTCTTTCTCGCTGGCCTGATTAAAAGCAATTTCGAAACTCAAAAAATTCAATTGAAAATCAATAATTTTGTAATAAGCTTATTTTCCATTTGAAATTGCGTTTTTCAATCGGTTTCAATTGTCTTGGGAATCAAAGGGAAATTAGGGTTTTTACTGACCTGCAGGAAGAGGGGCACGACATACGGCAGTGAAGGAAGATTAGGAAGGACAGACCAAAACTATTAACTCAACAGCTCATCGTCGACATGTTGGGGTGGCGTTGGAAGAGGTTTGCGCTATGCGTTCCTCGAAGTTGTGTACTAAAGCTGGAATTTTCGCTCCCGTTTTTTTCTCTTTACTCTCTAGCTCTCTTCCCTTCCCTCCCAATTTCGAAATGTCGACTTGCTTAAGTTAAGACCCCTCTGTGGAGACGCAGTCGCAGAGTGCTGTTTTTCTCTTAATTGTCATTTTCTATAATGATAATTACTTATGTAGTCCTTGGTTTTTTGTCAAATATTATTTATTCCCTGTATTATAATTTCATTACATATTTTTTTCTAATTTTAAATTTGGATTCAATATTTTATATTCAGAACTCATATTTGATCTTTCACTTTCAAATGAAAAGTGGCGTATTTTCATTCTTTAAAGTATAAAGTTCATTTACTTACGGATTGTGGCTCAACTGGTAACATAGGTTGGGTATATGAGAAAAGCTCTCAGGGTCGATATTTAAAGTATAAAGTTCATTTATTTTCATTCCACACTTGCTAACCATCCTTCAGCCTTTACATTATTTGAGGATACAACTCTTGCGCTATGCATGGTCATTTTCTTGCACTTGCATGAGTGCTGTTATGTCAACCAGTAATCTCTCCTCTCCCATGTATGGTTTTGCAAATCTCTTTCATGTGGATGATGATGACTTCATCGAGGATGCTCCACAGGTGGAAGCTCTATGACGTTTCTTTGTTGGAACTGTCGAGCAATGGGCAACCCTCAGGCAGTGAGTGCTCTAAAGGATCTTATACATGCCAAGAAGCCTATGTTTTGTTTCCTCATGGAGACGAAAGTAGCCTCCTCTTATGTTAAAAGGTTAGGTGTGCAATGTGGCTTTTCCTCTTCTTTTTCAGTTGATTGTCGTGGTCTAAGCGGTGGTCTTGCAATTTTTTGGAACAACAGCTTGAATGTTGATCTCTATTCCTACTCTTCGAATCATGTGGATATGCAAATAATACACGGATTACATACATGGCGGATGACGTGTGTATATGGCTTCCCTGAACCTAATAGGAAGTCGGATACTTGGACTCTTCTCAAAACTCTAGCTAGTTAACACAGCCTTCCTTGGCTTTTAATGGGTGATTTTAATAATCTAATTTCTGATGATGAGAAGACAGGGGGTAACCCTTATGAGCTATGTAATCTTGAGGGGTTTCGATAAGCGCTGGAGGTGTGCCGGGTTTTTGATATCGGTATGGTAGGGTACCTGTTAACATGGCAACATGGTCGAGGGCGGAACAAAATCAAGGAGAGGTTAGACCAAATGGTGGCCTCAGATGAGTGGTCTAGAATTTTCCCACATGCTTCAGTCCACAACTTAATTAGCGGCATATCAGACCATTCTCCATTACTGCTTTTATTGGGTACAAATCAACGGACTAAACGGCATGTTAGCTTCAGGTTTGAAAATGCATGGCTTGGAGAGGCTAATCTTGATGAGACTGTTATTCATAATTGGGCCCAAGGTGATGTGATGAGTAAGCTGAATGCATGCAGAGATGGGTTGCGGATTTGGGGACGTGTTATACGTAGCAACTTCCTTAAAGACATTAAATTGCTTAAGACACGGCTTAATGGTCTTCGAGCCCACCAGAGCAGTGATAGTTTAGAGGGATTTTTACTGGTACAAAAGCAGCTTAGTGATCTGCTTCTTAAAGAAGAGCAATACTGGAAACAGAGATAAAAAATATTTTGGCTTGCTCATGGAGACAAAAATACCAGGTCTTTTCACTCCTCAGCTTCTTCACGTAAAAAATTAAATTTCATACCAGGTATCCGTGACTCGAATGGTGTTTGGAAGGAAGAATCGAGGGATAGGCATAATGTGTTTCTAGAATATTTCACTAAATTATTTACAACCACTCCTGCTTTGTAACATCGCTTCCCGGTCCACCCGTTAACTCAAATGAACCGAGCTGAGATGCTACAATCTGGTTGAACCTATGTCCTTTTATGCTAATATCATGTTGTATGCTGATTATGCTGGTTGAACTATTGTCGCTTTTAGTGCTATATCACTTTTGTATTGCGATTGATTGTCAGCTTGTTGTTTTTTAACATGAGGAAATATAGATATGTACTTTATTATTTATTACAGACGATGATATAATTTTCAAAATGAAATGGGGCCCCAACTGTGTTTTGCCCTGTTACATGCCCATGATAGGATAGACCAGAATCAAATATAATGAGTAGCCTTACCCTGAAAGACTGAGTCTTCCACAGATGACTTGCAGCAGTTGTAAGCTGATTCTCCTACGGTCCAGTCTCGAAACCTACGAGTTAAATAAATAACTCGCTTGAGCAATAATGCTCAGTGGATTATCTTCAATTTATATTAAGCAAAATAACAATAACCATTTTAAGGCACACATATCATTATCTTTCCATGATTTTTACCCTGCTGTTCATGATGCTGTATAATTTTGCAACTTTTTATTTACCCATCCGTATATACTTTTAAATATAAATTCCACATACACTGCCTGGCTCATAAGGTTATAGTGAAACCAAGTTGGATAAGAAAACCTGTATGAACCTGTATGAAACTGGGCATGAATACTGTATGGGCTTTGGGGCTGTTTTATGCCGTATTATTCATTATCCATCAACCACCTTGGTAGCTGAGTAAAACCGGTATTGGCGCAGATATGCTTATCTATTGGGTTCGGGCGACATGGGTCCCTTATTCTTAACGTGGGTTCCTTGGCCTAACCTTAATTGAGCATATTATGTGGTATTTGTGATAAATACAAGAATTATTTAGAAAATATTACTTGTGAGGAATAATGCATACATTGGATAATGCTATAAGGTAATTGCATGAAATATCCTAGCTATGGCACCCGCGAATGCAATTCCCTTACTAATATTTATGTAATAAATGTTCTTACCATTCAATTAAGGAAATCCTTAGTTTGAATTAGTTACTTAGAAGGTAAAGCCAGTAATAAATTTTCGGGTGAATTGAAATCTACATTAATTGCGATTCCAACTATTTCTAAATGTGTTTTCTTGAATCTGCCAGAAGCCTGTAACATGTTTACAATCTTATCATATCTTTTTCTGTATAACGCCCAATTAGGCTATTCTAAATTTCTATGGTTAGCTATACATCTTAAGGTAAAGTTTTTTTCTATCACATCTCTTAAAATTACGTTGGCAAGGTATCACATAATTGAAGCTCAAGTAGACTGCCAGTCTGCACTGCTGTTGTTTCCAGCCTGCCCAGTTTTACTATTTGGTCCATATCTCTTCAATTTTAAATAACTCTTCCAATTTTAGGTGATTCTACATTTATATGGTTAGCTGTACAACATAGGGCTACATTTTGGTCTTCTACCTACATCTTCTTAAATTACGTTGGTCACGGTGTCAAACATTGAGCTCAAGTAAGCACTGTCATTCTGCCCTGCTGTTGGGTTCCCAGCCCTGAAACAAGGTTTTTATATTATTTTTGGTCACAGAATTCTAATTGATCATAACTCATTTAGGTGATTTCTTCCCTTCTATGGTTAAGTTAACAATTAGGCTACAAATTTGTCTTTACCAACATCTTTATTACGTTGGTAAGGTAAGGCAAAATATTTACCGAAATGGCAACTATCCCAGTCGTCAGACCTGTTGATTCCAGCTGCACAGTCTGTACTATTACTATTTTGGTCATATCTCTCAATTTATAACTCCGATTTAGGTGATTCAAAAAACCATGGACAGCTAAAACATAGAGGAACAAATAACTCTTCTACAGCACTTCCTAATTCCATCATTAAATAGGGTCAAAATCAAGGTGAAGTTAATAGTCAGTTTTCCAACAAATCTGTTCAGCATGAAATCAATGTCTACTTCATTTATTCATTTCATACCATACTTTCTCACCATTTCTAGACCTCTTACTCAACATTCAACAACATATCTTCTCATTATCAACACACTACACAAGTTTTCATGCAAGGAAATTTGTTAAACTAAAAGAGATATCAAACCTTCACTTAAAAAGCTTACAATCTTCTTCTTAGCTTCCTTTTGCTTCTACCTTTGAGCTCACCTCTAGTTCCCTCTTCCTATACATATTAGAGTTCACCTCTCCTATACATAAGAACTCTTATGAATAATCTAAAATAGCACTAAAGTATGAAATTCAAGAAATTCTACTTACTTGGATAGAATAGAGGTTGACTTTAATGCTTGAATACCATTACAATTGATGAAGATAAAGATGAAGAAGGTGGAGAAAAGAAGATGAGTAAAGGAGATGCAGGAGATGAAGAAGGGAAAGTGAAATGGAAGTCTCGTGTAGGCTCCAAAAATATCATTGATTGTATATGTAAAATTACCAAATGGCACCTCAATTGTCAATAGGTTACAACTCAATACCTTAGCTTTATAGTTTAGTGCAAGTAAGTCCTAATCCTTATACTTTGATCTTTTTGTTTTATTCAAGTAAGTCCACTTTTTATCATTATTATAGTAAATCCCATACTACTTAAGTTACATCCCCATTCTACCACTCTGGATTTTAAATGAGCTTTTGAAACGGGTTTTTGTTCGGCTCAATCACTCGACTCTAATGCAACGATTCGATTCAGTAGGATGTTTCAGTTCCACCCTTACTAAATAAAAAACTTGTCCCGAAAGTTTAACCTGTTTGAACAAATGCGGATACTGTTGTCGCATGATTTCTTCAGAATTTCCCAGTTGCTTTCTTCTGGTTTTTATGATCTCCTCCAACAGAACTTTTGGACCAATTGCTATTTTCTTGTTTCGGCAATTCTTTAATTTCTACTTCTGGGGCTAGGATTGAACTGGTTTCTTCCTTTCATAAGCGTGAGCATTGGTTTGAATTTCAAATCTCTTTCTGCTGGATTAAACCAGTGTTGAATGGGTCGGATTCTTGTATCTCTTAAACATTGATAATGAAAGACATTATGAATTCGATCTAAATGTGAGTAACGCTAGGCGATAGGCTTTAAATGGTCCCCTACAAACGTGTAGAATCCTTCGTATGGACCAATGAACCTAGGACTAAAGCCCTTACCTTTCTTTCAAACCTTAGGATCTTTTTTCCCATTGGCTGACACTTTTAGAAATTATCTTTATCACCGCCGTATCTCAATGTACTTTTCTCTTTAAATCAGCATAGGACTTCTGTCGATCATTGCTTTCCTTTCAGCGTTTTCTGATGATTTTCCACCTTCCTCTTCTTGTTTCTCTAACCAAATTCTGGGACCCCCAAATCTTCTTTCTCACTAAGTTCTGTCCAATATCAGCGTGGTCCTGCATTTTCTGCCATACAACAGCTTTCATATGTGCCCCCATTTGATGCTCGATTTGAGTAGCTATTGTTGTGCAATCCTGTGAATGTACATATCTGTCCCAACTGCCCTTCAAATTCTATAACACATTGATCTTATCATGTCTTCCAAGAATTTGAATTATCTATCTGACTGCCTTGTCCTGAGGATGAGGCAAGTGCTGAAACTGTGTTTCGTTCCTACAATGCGAGTCTGCCAGTTACCCCAAGACTTCGATGTAAAACTTGGAGTCACGATCCCGATATATCGGATGATGGAACTCCAATGTAAGTCGAACGATTTCTCTACTAGATTTCTGCTAACTTGTCCAGAGAAATAGTCCCATCCTGAACCTGGTTAAGAAAGTGCGCAGAACTTGGTTATCTGTCAACAAATTACCATACACATCAGGCTCCGCTGCGTCTTGAGGTAATCGTAAACAAATCCATCGTGATCTTGATCCCATTTCCATGTTGGAACTGTTATTTGGATGGAAGGCAACCCAAGCTGGCAATTGGATGTTCTGCTTTTTACCTTGTTGGACATGTCAAACATCTTAGTTACGAAAGTTTCAATGTCGCTTTCTTCATGCCCTGGCCACCAATAGCCTTGTCTTCAACATCTTGATACATCTTAGTACTGCCTGGATTGGCATTCGGTTATATGGACTGTTTATGAGCTTCATGCAGAATCTTCTGTCTGATTTCCCCCTTTGGTACAACAACTCTGTCTTCCATAGAAAACATACTCCACTGTTATCCACTTTGAAATTTCCCACAATCGGTCTTTCCTAATCAACTTGTTAAAACCCAGTGCTATGTGCTTTCATCTTTCCTTCTGTGGCTTCTGCAACTCCTGAACCAAGATGGTTGTACTTTGAATTTGTGCGCTAGAATAGGCCTGCTGTTTGCAAAACTCCTGGTTGATCTCTCATTGCTCTCAAAGCATACAATGGTTTTTCCGACTAAGGGCAATCAGCTACCATATTAGCTTTACCGGATGGTAAATTTAATGACATAATCATTAATTAGCCAGAATCTCTGCCATCACTAATCATAATTAGCCAGAATCTGCATCCACTTCCGTTGTCTTGAATTCAAGTCTTTCTATGTCAATAAATACTTTAAACTCTAATGATCTGTGTAAATGTAACACTTTTCACTGTACAGATAATGCCTCCATACTTTGAATGCTAGAACAATGGCTGCCAGTTATAAATCATGGGTTGGATAATTCAATTCATGTGGCTTCAAGTGTCTGGATACATAGGCCGCCACTTTCCTGTCTTGCATGAGTACACATCCTAACCCAGTATGAGAGGCATCACTGTAAATCTCAAATTCTTTACCTGACACTGGTGGGTCAGCACTAGTGCTTCAGTCAACTTTTT